CCGTGAGAAAACTCTTCAGCAAACACCAACAAGCAATCACGCTAATTTCACTGAAAATAGGTATCAGCTATAAGAGAATGTTTATTACCCTAGAGCTTCACATTTTAGATAAAGAACTAATCACTTCTACTAGAGACCGCTTTAAAGAAGAGTTGGTACGCAAGTATGGATTTCCTTAAACTTGCAGGTATGTTTCTCGCTGAGGTTTTTGTTCAATACCATCTTTAATTTCTATTATCTTTTGAGAGAATGGATTTGCAGGTATGCGAGAAAATCTAGAGCACTGGAAATGGAATAAAAGGAAGAAAAAATTGGAGACTGGAACTGGAACTTGTAGCTTTCAAGATCGGGGGGATTCTGATATTCATTAAGTCCCTTCCCTGTCAGATGGATGTTGCCAACCCATGGAAAACAATGACATGCTTTATGTATGTTATCTTTCACTTCTCTCAGGTACATACTGCAAGGAAGCTGTGTTCTAAGCAATGTATAAACAAACAATCATCATATTAGTCTTTTACATATTTTGGCACTCAAAGCACAGATAAATCACTGTGCCGTAGCCTTACCTATCATACTACTTACAAAATAAATCCAGGCTTGGGAGGAACATTAGATAACTTTTCCTTTAGTTAGCTTTTCAAAGCTGATGGTATTTTTTAGAATATGATTTATTCCTTTTATTTATCAGCCTGTCTTGTTTCAGATGGGTACTGTCTGACTGACCTCTAGATACCCTTGCACTTGCTCTGTGATATCCCCAGAATGTCAATGCTTCAATTCTTCATCTTTCATTTCCCAAACGTTTCTTATTGGTCACTTCTGGTACCAGTGGCAGCTGAAGTGGAAGTTTATCCTCTGATAACCTGTACTGCTTTAATGGTTCCCAGCATCCTGAGAATATTTTCCAAGTGTTATGGTGACACCAGCCGAGATCTTGGCAATAGAAAAGTGTTTCATACGCTTATTTCCTAACTTGGTCTCTTGTTTTCCCAACCCTCTGTCAGCCCCTTGATTTCTGTGGCTTAACTCTTTTTGTTATTGCTATATTCTTTGTTATCACTTCTCAGTATCTTTCTGATAATAAAGCCTTTGAAGAATCTGAGGGCATTCCCACCATGCATCCAAAATAGCTTAACAAATTTCTCCAAACCTCCAAGCGACATTTGTCCAAAAGCTTAGCAAAAATCCTCTCTAAAAGGAACAATAGTCACATCTTCTTTACATATTTCTCTGTAAACTAGAGTCTAGGAACTATAGCACATAAACCTTGTAAAATGATGAGCATGTTTCGAACAGTTCTAATACAAAAGATTACACATAAAACAAGTCACCAGTTTTAGCATGTCTCCAAAATAACGTATGCTTAGAAACGCTTATCCTTGTAGCATCACTATCTTTTTTTTTCCCCAAGATAAAATTAGTCTTGCACCAGCATGCCTGAAAAAGCAAAATTCTCATATAATTTCAATCACTCACTCAGTTTGCTCATGACTTTTATATAGCTGACTGAACACCTATTATCTCACCTGAAAGAGAAGCTGTGAGTTTGCTCACCTCAGTCACCTGCAGGATCTTTGAAATGCCTCCTCTTCTGTTCCTTCCAAAGAGTGCCTTCCCGCATCTCCCAGTCCATTCCCGAGCCCACTGAACATGCAGTCATCAATAAGTTCTGGCTAAGTTATCCTGCGTAGCTCTGAAGAAAAAAGGAGAGACTCGCAGATGCCGCAGAAGGTCGTCTTTGCTCTCTTTGAAAATTTCGTTTGCTTGGTGGTCTGTCACAGTCAGGTCTCCAGTAGTAAACTGAACAACCTATCCTCCTGGCTCTTCTTTTCTTCTTTTTCTTTTCTGTAAACACATAATCAGTGCTTCAAATCCTTTAGGTATCACAAACTGTATTTCTCTATTGCCCTCTACTGACTGCTAGCTACCACCGCCTTCCTGGAAAATCGGCAAGCAACAGATACACAGTATGCTTTCCTCTGCCGCCCTCCCTCAAATCTATAATGATACTCGATGGCCAAAAGTCAGCGCAAATCATTCTATTTTTTCCTTTGTTACAAAACACCAGGCAAGATTTACAGCTTGTTGGTCAGCCGTGGTAGCTACAAAACACTAAACAACAGAAGCAGGAAGCAGTTAGTAACGTGGGTCTGCTAATGTGGTTTTTTTGGTGAACAAAAGCCAGGAAAAAGTAGAGACAAATGCATTCTGCCTTGAAATGTGGGTGAATTCACCCCACTGATGCCATAAATACTGTACCAGGGAGCTGATGGTTATCTGGTTTTAAGGGTCTGGTCCTACCAGCACTGGATGCACAGAAATACTGACTTTTGATGGGAGTTTTGCAGAAAGGGGCCTGTAGAGAGCCATGAATTGGAGGCCATGGTTTCTTGGTCATTTTCCCTTCGTCTCTAGTTTTATTTGTTTAGCACATTCAGCACCACACCTAACATGAGAAATGTAGTTTCTGCCTCAAGAGACAGGTACTGGGACAAGACACACAATATACTGCATATGAATGGCACTGGGAGGTGCTGCTTGCACTGCTTTTCAGACAAAGATGATCTATAATGCAAAGAAAAACCAGCGACCCAACATAAAAATGGGAATGGCCCAGCATAGTTTCAGGAGCAGAAGAAAAAAAATGTATAAGCATTTCAGACAGACTGGAAGAGACTGAGGGGGCGGGGGGAAGCAGGGATAAGAAGAGCCTAAGAGCAGGGTGGGGAGAAGGGGGAGAAATAATTTGCATTGTATTAGTCACTGCTTCATTAGTACAGTACAGTGCTTGTTAACCAAGTCACTCAGGCACTTGTCCTCACAAAAAAAAGTTATCCCAAGGTGCTGGTGCAAGTGCTCTGGCCCACCTGCACCACTCCAGGGGCAGGGAGGAGTCAGGTCCCAGCTCCAAGACAACAGGAGACTCCCCAGCACGTTTCCCTTTTGCTAGGCAGAGGCTGGGAGAGAACACGGCACTATCTCGCCTCGCCATTCCTCCTCTGCAACCGAGTCCCCTAGGGGGGCAAACAGACTCGCACAGTTAAAAATCGTAAAAACAGGCTCACCCCCCCAAAAAAGTGGTGAAATTATTTTTGCTTACCTGTGTTCAGAAAATATTTTTTTTTCCCACCACTATTAATAAATGGGGATATTTCATTTGCCAAAAAATCTGTTGACTGGTGAACACTGGTTGCGTTTTAAATAGATGTTACGTGACATCCCTGCTCTTTGACTCAAGAAAGGTAGAGTTCACACAAAAACTATCATCAACAAACCCAGCAACTTGGCAACAAAATAGGTAATATTGAAAGGTCCATTGAAAAATGTATTTTTAATTCAAAACTAAAGTCAGCAGAGGTCCTAATTGTAGCTATTACGAACATTTCATTAACAAGCCCAGATTTATTGACTGTACTGTAAAGCTCTCCTACTAAAGGAAGCCCAGAAATTCAATTTTTCCCATGCTTTTCTACTTCTAAAGCCCTCGGCTACTCCATGTTAGAAAACAAGAAATAATTATATTTATTCGAATTCCTTGATAGAATATTGAAGCCTGCTCAGATGAATACCTCTTCTAAATGAACAGTTACCAATAGATCAAAGAAGAATGTCTAGCAAATGAATGGGGCCAAGGGAATTAATAAAACACACATCAAACATTAAAAAGCAGAGGTTTTTTTTTCTTTTTAATAGGAGCACATCTGCAGAGTGATAAAGTATGTAGTTGCCAAAATTCATAAAAAGGCATCCAAATAGAGCGGGAGGTAGCTGATGTTCAGCACTTTTGAACACCAAGTGGTTTCCTGGAGCTGCTGGTTGAAATTTTTCACCTGACAACTCGACAGAAAAATCTATTTTTTTCCCCTAAGGTGAAAGTTTTCCTTCCTACAGAAAAAAGAAAAACTTTTAACACCGCGGAAGACACAGGCGGCTCCTGAAGACGAATATATCGCTTTCCACCGCTTCCTAACGGACGGCAACGCGAGAGGGCTGGTTGAAATTTTTCACCTGACAACTCCTGACAGAAAAATCTATTTTTTTCCCCTAAGGTGAAAGTTTTCCTTCCTACAGAAAAAAGAAAAACTTTTAACACCGCGGAAGACACAGGCGGCTCCTGAAGACGAATATATCGCTTTCCACCGCTTCCTAACGGACGGCAACGCGAGAGGGGTGCCCACCCCCACAGCGCCCCCCGTCCCCTCAGCCCACGCTCGCCA